TTGATTTTCATCATTGTTTATTCGAAAAACCAAGAAACCGTTGTTGGAAACTTACCATGAAACTACTTGCGAATCTGGCGTGAAGCACAAGGACTCCCACGAGCGGAGATGTCCCGAGTGAGCCGATATGAGAGAACTGCCGGTGTCGACAGCCTCGAAAAGCTCAGCCAGAAGCTGACGGCAGACCTGCGCAACCACATTCGGTTCCTCGTACGATTCGTCGGTATCGCTTCATCCTTCATCGCTTCTGTCAGGGCGACTACCCCGTGCTCTCGACCGAATGGAAGGAAATGGCGCACAACATGAAACGGTTTGGCGAGATCTCGGAAATGGTACAACCGAGCGGGGTAGCAAAGACGACCACCTGACCACTTTCGCAGGAACGGCAGTTGCCCAAGCACGAGAACGCGACCCTGTGGGAGTGCGAGGAGCTCGCGCTGCGCTACATTCTCGAAGACGGCAAGCTCAACCTCTGCCTTCGTCTCTTAGTCGAGTACAAGGATTACGAGCATGGAATTAGTCAGCGCGAGTTGGACGTACGATTGCATGTACCATCGTTTGCGGACTCTTCCTCGTTGCTAGCCCGACACCAAGGCGCTCGTGAGCCAATTCGAGCGCGGCCTCGGCGTCATGCTCAAGAATGCGTGGCTCCATGTGGAAGCTCTGCAGGTGCCCCAGCCCTCCCGTCCGCCCCATCCACTGCCTTCGTACTAGACGACGGATCTTCCGCTCTTGTTGGAGTACATTGCCGGAGTGCTCACGTTTTGCGAAGAAGAACCCGTTGTACGGTCGAACCCGATCCAAATGACTCTAGTCTATCGTGGCTATCCTTTGTAGTTTGTCGAGAAGAAGGACCTCGTGGACAGCCAAGAGACCATTGTCGTTTACTACCTTCATGGCCTCTTGAAGCAGCTCGAGCACATTTCCGAAGACAGGTAGACTGCCCACGGCCATCGTTTCAACTCGTCCGTGTGGACGACGCCACTTACTCTTTCTGGCGTCATTCCATGCAGAGTCATGCCGCTGGTGCTGGAGAAGCAACTGTTTGCGTTGTTGACGTCGCACATCCAGCGCCACTGGAAGTTGTTTTCGGTGCGAATACCGTTGCGACAGCCTCCAGATGCATCGGTCCCAACGAGATGATCTTGGCAGGACGTGGACGTGTTGGTTGCGTGCGAAGTCCTCGCGCTCATTTGCGACACGGAAGACTTTCAATCGCATGCAGTAAGTAGTGCGATGCCCGTGGGCATCGTGCCACCACATGCCTTCGATCCAACGCACTGATGTCGTATGTGCAGCAATCGTACGTGGCATCGGCCCAAGTGGTGCGCGATTTGCGCATCATTCAAGGTCAGTCGTCGATCATTCGCGAGATAACGGGCCAACCCGTCCCAGCGCTGACTTGACGTCTGCAGAGGACATTTTGGACAGTCTTGTGGAGGATTTGGATGTGCGCAAGAAACTCCGTCCCCTCCTGGACGTGATCAAGGAGTTTGCGTCGGGGCGGAAATAGCGCAACGATAGCACCCGATCGATCTCGTCGATTGACGTGAGGAGCTGGCGAGAGGCTCCCGACTACTCAAATCTGCATCGTGGAATCCACAACGTTTATCGATTTTCTTCACGAGTGTCCAGAATCAACGGTGGCGCGGCGCCGTCCCGAGCAAGTCGCTCGATGAGGCACCGAATCGCGACGCGCTTTTTTCGAATGACTTGAGGTGGAAACCATTGAGCAGTCAAAACATTTTGCGAGTCGGCGCCTTTCGTGGCCACGAATGCGGTCGATACCAGCGGTGGCGACGTCAGGAATAGTTCCACGTAATGCAGGACGAACACGCCGCAGTCTGTGTAATTGGCTTGGCGCGGAATCTACCGCAGCGACATTGAGACGTGGCACGGCACATGGACATGCCGCTTGCCAGTGCCTTACTTCAGGTGGGCAAATCGCAGGCAAATTCGCTGCATTGAACGCCATGACCCCACACGTTGGCGCTTTTCTAGCGCGCCATTCCATTTGCAAGTACCTACGACACGTCAAAAAAAGCGGTGGACGAACATGTGTGTACTCGCGGAGAAAATAAGAGACGCGACCCGTGCGGTGGGCTTTGAGCGAGTCCAAAAACACAACGCAAGGGCGATGGTTTTCATCTTGGTCCAAGTTTCGCTCGAGGCCACACGTTGTACAGCGTGCACGACGGTCGGGTAAGGCTGGGTCTGGGATTGGCGTGAAAGCTTTCGGTGCTGTCGGCGCTTCAGGTGTTTCGGAGGCATCGGCGACAAGAGTCTGCTTCGTTGTACAGGAATCCTCTTCATCCATGGAACACGTGACTACGCACGATGCAGATGTATCTGGAGGTGCTCGTCGAGCCACTGCTGCTTCCTTTGGCGCCGGCGCTTCCGACTGACGTATGGCTGGCACAGCGACGTTGTGCACTTCAAGTTCGGTGGAGGGCTCGTCGGTAATACGTTGTTGTGTGGGTGGCATGGAGTCGGCTAGAGTCGTTCGTGCATCGTTTGCTGCCAACACTAGCTGCGCATCCATTCCACCTGCGTCGCTGTGCCTTGATGCAGGTGGGTGTGGAATGAATAGACCGGACGTAGTTGCCTGGGCCAGTGTGTTCGTGGGTGCTTTTGTCGACACATGCACGACCTTGGTCCGTTTTGGCAAGAGCGACCGAGCGGATGCACTTGGTTTGGCAGGTCGTTTTGATACGTGGAGTAAGGAATTCGTGGGAACGGTTGGTTTGGCCGCCATCGGGTCCACTGCACATCGGCATTGCGACGTCGACGCGAATCTGTACAGGTTGCACACGATGGCGACGCTCCAGTGGCCGCTACAAGTTCATTCTGTCAGTCGAGTGTGGATTCATCGAGAGCGAGGTCCCCATCTTGACCAAGGCAGACGCACTCTTCGTTGATCGGCACGACCAGGTACTTGGTCTGGAAAATGTCGACAGTTTTCGTCCACCGCGCCACAGACGCATACGCTTGCTCGATGCTCGACGCCGCGTTTCCCTTCTTCGCTTGCTTCTTGTTTATCAAGTACTGGCCAAAGAGAAACGAACTGCACATGTACGTCCTCTCGACGACATGCCACGGCAAGGTGTCGATGAGGTAACTACAGCAAGTAGTGGCCGTCATGAGGGTCCCATACCCATCACACTCGCCGACGCACACACCACTGTACCTCAGGTAAAACTCAATCACCGAGTCGTTGAGCAAGCGCTGGCCCACCAGTCGCGCCGTGTCGCCGTACGTTAGCACGACCCACCCCTACCAACCAGTCGATCGTGACAGCATGCGCGACAGGAACGAGCCGTGGCCATCCATTTTTTCATCGGCAAGCCTACCTTTGCGCGCTGTTTGAAATAAGTACACTGAACCTTGTCGTCGATGGGGGTCAGCGCCGACCGTTGAAAGTACCCGATGCCGTAGGGTAGTTGCACTATAAACACGCCAGGGAGCGCCACGGCAGCGCGAGTTGCGGCGCCGGAAGACGCTTGGACTGCCGACCATGCCAGTCTACGTAGCAAGATGGCGTGGGTGATGGACTCTTGACTGGCATTTGCCACGCAATGGCTTGCAAATGGCCCTTGCGAGCGCATCGACAACTCTGGCATTGGAATCCACCACGTACGAGGTCGCAATGGGCGCCTGCGCTACAATGGGCGAATTCAAAATCAAGCCGATTCCAAAAGGCGTCGCGACGACTTTATCGGCGCCAAGGGGATCCGCTCTCGTGCTGCGAGTCGAGCGCACCACAGGCGCCACGGTAGCCGTCGGTGTTGGATCGATCGTCGGGCTGTCGTCGTCCGAGTCGTCCAAGACAATCGTTGTTGGCTCGTTTTCGATGGGTTTTGCTTTCTTTGTCGCGGGGTCACTGGTCTTGGTTGGAAGGGCGGGTGTGGCGCGAGGTCGTTTTGCCGGTCGCTTCGTCGACACGGCAGGAGCGCGTGGGTAAACGATGCTGTCGGGTGGAGACGATGCATTGATTACGGTGGGAAAAGCTGCGAGTGTGTGGACCGTGCTGGTACTGCGGCGTGATACGTTTGGTTGGTCTCGATACGCTTCGATGAGCAACTGCTGCGCTGACAAGCTCTCTTTCGTCTGCACGACTTCCACCCCCAGCTCCTGCAATAGGAATAAATTTGGTTCCCGTATCAACCGGCGGATATCCAAGCTTTGGGGTCGTACCATGGGCAGGGCACCTCTTCGAATGGCGTCGACCAGCTACATGAAGGAGCGATGGGGTGAGAGGTTTGCGTGGGTCGTGGAGCTGATCGCACCGCAGCACTGCCCGTGGACGTGTTGGTGAAGGTCTGGCCATTGACAGAGTGAATGAAATGGGAGCCGCAGAATCGATTCGGGACTGAATCCGATGTCTTGAGCGGGTGCAAGTACTCAACGATCTCGACGCGTCCGAGCGCTAGGAACAAGTGTAGTCGCATGCAGTGGGTTGATCTGTCACGTACGATGGCGCTCGGCGATCTGAATGTTCAATGGACGGTCGAGATAATGCAGAGTGTAGAACGTTGGGTTGCGTACGAACCGGACGACCTAGAACGCGTGCGTGTCATGATGCGGGGAACGGGCCATGGAGATTTTACGGGACGGACCACAGGAAACACTGGACAGGTGAGCACGCGCGCTTTGATTTCGTCGAATCGCCATGACCGCACGTTGACGTCCCCAATTGCGTCGATTTGGTACCGACAAGGTGGAAGCGACACGACTTGGACGGGGGACGCAAAGTAGCTAAACACGAACAATGCACCGATACCATTCTCCGTGGCAGGATGGACGCGCAAGCCCATGCCGGTCGATTGGTATTGCGCCCCAAACTCGACCTCGACTACGTCCGCGAGTTGCGTGGACGGCGCTTTTGGCGGCAGCATTGTCACGGCAAAAACTATGGAAATCCACGACGAATGTGATTTCAAAAACATTTTTAAACATGTCTAGCCAATGAGAATGCCGTATACAGGATTAAAGATGTACTATTGGCTGAAACGTCGGCGAGATGTTTGAAATATGTTTGAAATTGACGGAGGGCCAATTGAGCATTCAAGTGGATCAAATGAGCGCAGGCACGCGGACGGTGGCGGTGGAACCCAAGGACGAGGGGGCGTTCGTAGAGGTTGTGTACTCGGAGCTGTACCGAAGTATCGGTCTCGGCCTCCGCGTCGAGCGTGCCACGGAGAGCGGGATCGGCGCGTTGTTGGTTTCGAGCACGCTGCAAGCACCACCGGGAGTGCGCGCCCTGCCTCCATACCAATACCGGTTGTGGACAATTGGATCCATGAATGTGTCCGGGGCTATGTTCAAGGATATCGAAGGACGCATTAACCTCCTCGGGGCAGCCTTCCCCATCGTACGTACAAATGTTGCACGAGATGGACTCATATCTGTCTGTGGACACACACCATTAGACGGTCACATTCAAACGCGTCGAGAAAGTGTTCACCCTCGACTACTCGGTTTTCTCGCCAAAGTTGAACCTGAAGATCATCCAGAGTCCGGCCCCGCCGTCGACGGCCCTAACCGGGCCGTCCAGCATCTGCAAGATTGTCGAGTACATTCGCCCGTTTCTGTTCCACGGAGACGTACCGTCCTTGAACTCGGGGTATCACGTCCTTACCTCGATCAACGATAAATCTCTCGACAGCCTTCAATACCAGGAGGTGTGCATCCCCACTCGACACCGCCATCTCTCTCGCCCTCCTGCATTCGTTTCACCCGTGTGCATTAGGTGGTGGATTGCATTCGCAACGCGACGTTCCCCCTGGTACATTGCCGCGCGTTCACACGACCACATCGGTCCCCTAACCTGGCTCGTTCTCGTAGAGAATCGTGGTGACGCTCCAGCCAAACGTGGAAGCGCTTAGCAAAGCCCGCGCCGACGCCGATATGCACGACCGCATCCAGATCGACGCATGTCGAGCCAAGTTTCTCACATGCAACTGCGCACACTGCGCGACTGTTCGAGTCCTGCTCGGAAACGCCTCGGTGTACACGGACCAAGTGTACCCGTGATGCGGGCTAAGCGATCGATATCTACCCACGTACCTGTTGCTTGGTCTCGTTCAGTCGACTACTACCGGCGGCTTCCACCGCCTTGTTCATCCTCCTTTCGACTCCACCTCGCTCTGGACAGACGTGGAAGGATTCGAGGTAGTGGCGACCGCACGGTTGCTGCGGCCAGCTTCATGTTGGCCACGATGGTGGCGAACAGGCACAGGTCGATTCGAAGGGCCGCACGACGCCATCCTCCAAGGACACCACCGACAATTTCACCAGACGCTTTGCATTCGCATCGGTGGTGTGTGAGCCACTTGCTGCCCCATAGCGCAAGCGAACTTGCCGTCAGCACGTTTCCCAGTTGTCTGCCGCAGGTGCGGCACCCGTTTTTCATCCCACCCGCCCGTTCAAGAGGTTGATACGGCGTCAACAACACAATGGTGGAGTCCCGTAAAAAGTTTGGCAGGATGCGTAGCCAACGCATGGTCGCTCGGCGGGTTGCGATCAGCACGCACATGCGTCAGCATCGCAGCGAGAGGGGCGGTGCAGTGTCGCCGGGCCAATGCTCGTGCGATGTACACCCACATTATCTCGACTGCGACAGTTTGACCAGGCCATCCGTCTATTCAGTCGGCCCGCGGCGGCGAAACATTTGAAACCATGTGGAGGGGTATCGTGGGAGTGGCGAGATCGGCGTCGAGTGCTGCGTCGAGTGCGTACATTTGTTGGACGATGCCGGGACGGCCAGATCATGATGGGCAAGCACGGCATCGATCGTCCAAGCACGGTGTAACATTGGGTAGCGCTGTCGAGGTCACGACGACGACGAAAGCCACGAGGCCAAGTGGAGCAGCGGCAGTCGTTGTCGCACCGCAGGTTTCTCCCGGCATCATGACCCCGTCTGCCGTGCCGCTCTCTGGCTTTGGAACGGGCCGTCGTGTAACCGTCGCCACTTTATTTGTGTGCGCGGGGAGCGATGGCGGCGGCGACCAAGGACTTTTCAGCGCTGGATGCGCTGAACGCCCAGGTTGAGGGGAGCAAAGTCGATGTGCTGAAGAAGCGGATTGAGGAGCTCCAAGCTGAGAACGAGCACCTGCGGTGTCTGCATCAAAAAAACGAAAAGGAGACCCACGAGTTCGTCGCGTACTTTCAACGGGAGCTAGGGGCGCGTGAAAAGGTACCGCACGACGTCCATTCACACGAGTTGGCGCGTCGTTGCGCCGCCGCCATCCACGGAAGGTCTCACCCGTCGTTCGACGATGTAGGTGACGGCGAAGCTCAGCGAAGACCTGAGCGAAGCCAGGACGAAGTTCCATGATGAGACAGAAGAGATGAAGGTCAAGTACGACGTCGACACTAAGCACCTCGTCCAGACGTCCAAGCTCGTCGAGCACACACTGTCCGACAAGCTCAAGATCGCCCAGGAGGACCTGGCCAAGCTCGAGCTGTTCCGGGACATGAAGGAGTCGCTGGAGAAGAAGCTGCAGCAGCTCACAGACACTCTCGACAGCGAGCGCGTCGCGCACAAGGATGCCATCGGGATGATGGAGCGCAAGTTTCTCGAAGAGAAGGCGCGCCACCAGAAAGACACGGACAAGCGCATTGAAAAGATCAAACAGCAATCTCGGGAAGATGCGCGGAACGTTCTCGACGCCGACACACGCAAGATTGTGACCGACAACAAACGCATGGGCGAGGAGCTGCGGTGGGGCAGCGCCACTCGAGCAGCCATCCCTCGTCACGGTGTGGCTGTAGGTTCCAGCTGCAAACGACGGAGGAACTGACCAAGGACAAGATTGCTCTCGAGCACCTCACCAAGTCGCTCAAGTGCGAGATTCAAGTCCATGCCGACAAAGAGCTCGAGTACGCCAAGTACGGCCAAAAGCAGACGCGCGAGATCAAGCAGCTGCAGGCACGTTCCGTTCCCTCGGCGTGTCATCAACTCAACGAGCGGGAGACTAGGCCAAAGTGAAGACGCTGGAAAAGTCGCTGTGCCAAGTTGTGCATGCATTTGAAAAGGAAAAGGTGCTGCTAGCGACCAAGACCGAAAAAGAGGTTCGACATCCCTGGACAACGTTTTTGCACACCGTTGTCTCGACGTAGCTGGACGACGTGAGCTTGGATGCAGATGGGCTGCGCAAGCTGCTCAAGCTCAAGAACAAGGAACTGCGCAACATGAAGCGCCTCGCCCAAACGATCCTGGACCAGCGCACGGACGTAAGCGCTTCGAAATCGAGTCGCTGTCATGATACGGTCGGTGTGTTTGTCCAGGTCGAGCAATTCTTTTTGGACTCGCTTGACATGGTGAAACAACAACTTGTGGACGAAAGGAAGCGGACGGCGGACGCCGAGAAGGTACAGGATGCCAAGCTGGTAGGTATCCACATAAACGCCAGACGCATTTACAGCGACCGACCGCTTAGACGCCTGCCGAGAGAGGCCTCAAGTTTCCTCGACTCAAGACTCGTTCCAGTGCAGGCAACCAGCAGCCGCCGCTCGGTCCACGAGATAAAGTCGACTTGCGCGCATTGACATGGGAGGTACGCCATGGCGCATACCTTCACCGGTTGTGCTTGGAGCATGGTGGGCGTTCAAGCGGTGGGAACTGCCCACGAGCAGGTTCACGATGGCCGGGGCCGTGAACTGATGCTTCATGACACAGGAACGGGAGCGCGTGCTGCGGCTCCTCTTTGCCAAGATCAACAGCATCCAGGGTTTCTTGGACGTGCCGCCACCGCTGGACGATGCCCGATCAAGTACATTCGACACACCCTTTATCACGGAAGTAGCGGATCCGTCAGGTCCGTCGCTGCCACGTCATTTCCCTTCACGACCGCCAACGCATGCCGCGACACCTTCAGATGGGTATTGAGCCAAATGCATTCCATGTTCACCCCTGTATGTCGTCCGTGATGCCCTTGCAAGTACCCCCGATGTTTATTCTTCACGGGACGGGCAACCCACACGCACAATACATCGCATTGCTTCGTGATCTCGCGGTGGTACGGAAGCTCACACGAGTTCAATGCATGCAACGACGTGTATGCGGTGTGCTACGACATGGAGAGGTAGATGTCGATACCCGTACACTCGCACGCGTCCCCCGCGCCGGCGCATCTCGTCGTCGGTCGTCGTGTGGACTGGCGCTTCGACGATAGCACAGATAAAACGAATTAAAGTTTTTATCCCTCATACTACTAGTATATGAATTGGGTATTTCTCAAGATCGTCCAACGAGTGGATATATTTCTCACGGCCGTCCAATTTAAACGTTCGCTAGGTATTTTTATTCCCAATCGTTCACCGATGCATGATCGTAAGCCGGAGGAAGCTGCATGCCTGACAGGATGGACCGGGTGTACATGAGTATAGATCGAAAGTCGCTGGGTCATACCGCTCAGTGGCTGTCGCGCTTTGTGGTGTCGTAGACGGCGGGTGCGGTCGGTCTTTGCTGGGGACCGCTGAAATTCTGGAATGGAGATGAATACCCCCCCCTGGGACTACTTCCGCGGTTTTTGACAGTGGGCGGAGCCATCGAGGGGTCTGGGGACTCTATTGGTCGACACCCTTGTCCTTTTGACGCGGATTTTTGCAATCAATTCGTCCTCTTTAAATACATTAACTGCGAAAACGACATGGTAGACTAGATTGAGTAATGTTGAAAATACTCATGAAATCTCGGGAAAAAGTTACTGCGTAAAGTTATTCCCTATTTAATTTACTATATACAACAAATATTTGTAATCCAGAGGGTATGTAGGTTGAAAACCTCTCAATTTTACTGCGACCTTTGGTTCACAATTGAAACTCACATGGCGACCAATGTGCGGGGTACCAATGCTGCAATGTTCTACAAAGTCTGTCAGTTCGTATAGTCTAACCGGCCCAGGGCCCTAACCGAAGTGGAGCGCCTTGACGTGTTACGGGCATACGCATACCTCAAACACGCCGACAATTGGTTAATACTTCCAGTAAACCAAACCGTCACTGAGACATGGACGAGAGATTGAATATCCCACAAGGCACTTCAACCCCATCGGCAATCCTTCGCTGTATCATGGCCAGTCTCTTCTCGGCTGCAGCACCACAGATTTTTCGCGGAGCCACTTGCTGGTAGATCAGCTTGCTCGTCAAATGGCCCCGCGTCCAAAGAATGAATCGACTA